CCAAGACGATCTTTCCTTTGAGATCATTTTCACTAGTATATACCAAGGCCACCTACCTTGATAGATAAGATAGATAAAGAAATACATAATGGAAAACATATATATCACACAAAAAGAGGTAGAACTAAATCACCAAGGACCCTAGAATCAAATTCCAAAGACCCCCCATCGGCTGCATAAATATATATATATATATAATATATATATATATATGTAAAATATATTTCATATTTTTCGAAGTACCCAACCTCCAAAAAAAACTATCTGAACTACGATCAAATGGCGATCGTTTGTTCTGACTGGCACTTCCACGAATAGAAGGGTAAATGGATGGAGAGACTAATTATCAATCCCCATCTTGGCATGACTACCGAAGGACGGATAAGAATTAATAATATTGAAACATCCAAGGGACACTAACCCAAGACGATCTTTCCTTTGGGATCATTTTCACTCGTATATACCAAGGCCACCTACCTTGATAGATAAGATAGATAAAGAAATAAATAATGGAAAACATATATCACACAAAAAGAGGTAGAACTAAATCACCAAGGACCTTAGAATCAAATTCCAAAGACCCCCCATCGGCTGCATATATTGATATGTAAAGATAAAATAAGTACCCAACCCAAAAAAAAACTATCTGAACTACGATCGAATGGTGATCGTTTGTTCTGACTGGCACTTCCACGAAAAGAACAGTAAATGGATGGAGAGACTAATTATCAATCCCCTTTTGGCATGACTACCGAAGGACGGATAAGAATTAATAATATTGAAACATCCAAGGGACACTAACCCAAGACGATCTTTCCTTTGGGATCATTTTCACTAGTATATACCAAGGCCACCTACCTTGATAGATAAGATAGATAAAGAAATACATAATGGAAAACATATATCACACAAAAAGAGGTAGAACTAAATCACCAAGGACCCTAGAATCAAATTCCAAAGACCCCCTATCGGCTGCAAAACCTTAGATGCTGGCAAGGGGCGAAAAGGAAATAAACCAATTATTACTCAAATTTGTTTGCTGTCGTTTTGCTTTTGGGTTCTCAGGCCCCCCCTTGTTTTTTTTGGGTGAGTCAACGCGGATGGATGCGTTCTGCGTGCTCATGATCGAATTTGATGATTTCCATCATTCTACTGTACATCATGTCCCTCACGAAACACCTTTGTCAACGACCTGGCATTTGGGCAGCCCATATATTCATGGGTAATGTTACTTGGCACACATATGAATCATATTAGAACCATATTATACACTATTTGATACTGTTTGAGACTATTTGATACGATCTGATCTTATCCAATACTATCTGATCTGATCTTATCCAACACTATCTGACACCATTCGATACTAAGTGATACTGATAATCCTGAAACCCCATTCTTGGAGATCCCAATCGGATGTTTGAAACCCAACCAACAGCCACAAACATCGCTGCTATGGCGATGTTTGAAAGGACCCAGTCGCTGCCAAGAAGTGATCCGCTTTGCAGCCACAGGAAGGACCGAGCTGTGGGCGGCAAGCGGCCTGATTCCTGATGTTTCATCATCTGCTTTCGTTCCGAAGGCCAAAGCGAGCAGGGCCCAGGAAAGCTGGTGAAGCACCGTCACCAAGTGAAATCCTGAGGTCTTTTTCAGGCAATCTGAAGGGCTCCTGCTCAGCTTGAATTTCAGGCCAAAACATGCCGAAAGTGGCCTACTTGTATTTGGAACTGGATGCTGCGATTGTTGGAAAAAGAGGCTTCTCTGCAATATTCCCAATCTTGGTGTTTCCCAAATCGTGAACCCCCATATCTGCTCAGTGGAAACCAAAGGTTGGGCTATCCCCTGAGTTTTGAAGGCATCCCTACGGACGATTTTTAGGGAGGAAGCTCCTGCGACCGAGGTGCTACATGACCCTCACTGGGGCCATTCATTTGAACTATGGAGGTGCTCGGGCCTGGCGCTGCATCCAGTACAAGCATTTTGTGGCAAAATGTATGGACGGATGTTTTGTTGGCAGAACCAAAGTTGGTTCTACAACTAGCTCTTCTACTAGTTCTATCAGGCCACATGCCTGGGTTGGTCAAGGAATGTTTTGGGGGAAGTGAAGGCAGACTTGTTTTTACCATTAGAACCCATTGAATATATCATATGGCAATGGGTCAATTTTTGGTCCCCCAAAATTTGGATAAATTACCATTTTCAAAGATGTTCACCAGGGTACCAATATTTATTTTGACCTAGTTTGCCATATGTGTTTCTTGAAGTTCCCCCTGATGCCGACGTTTGGATTCAGAGGCCTTCAACACTAGCAAGTCTCGAAAACAAGCACGACATCCTGGTAGCTTCCCACAGTTTTTTTTTGTTAACCAACCTAGAAATTCCACCTGGAACTAGTGCCCATGAATCCAAGAGTTTTTTCCCTAGAACGCCATTCTGATGCTTTCCACCGGCTCACTCGGCGACATAGCTAGATCTTGGTCACTAAGTCTGCATCAAAGTTTCATCTTTCAAACCTTGCCGGCACAGCATTTATGCTCAAAAGAGATCCATTCGCTGAAAGCTGTGGGATACGAACGAAAAATGGATGCGACACGGAGCCCACTCTCACTCCGAGCTTTGGCTTTGGAACCTCCAAATGCCTCGCTCTTGCGCCGCTTCTCGTATGCTCTTCGTGCAGATGGTGCCATGCCGGTGCCTGCGCCTCCCAGGGGCCAGCGTCCGGGTTTGGTCCAGGACGGTGCCATGGAGGACTCCTCGAGGGATTCTTCCAAGGCTTCAAGTCCAGGCAGCACGTGATCTCGTCAGGCCTGAAGCCATGCTGCGAATGAACATATTCTGAAATGCTGCGCATAGGTCCAAATATCCAAGCGTAGGTTGGGTTGTGGTTGATAGACAAGGAACCCCTGCAACAAGCCTAAGCAAACAATAGGCAAATCATGATACGTGGTATGCCAAATCAGCCTCTCTCTTTGTACCGAAAGGACATCATTGTTGCAGCCGCCCTACTTCCTGTGCCTGTTTGCCTGTCCCATTGTATTTTTCACATGAGATCACGACATTTGATGTGCAACTGTTTGCCAATGATCCTTGTACTTGTTAAGGACAGGTTCAGGAAAATCCTGGAGAGCACCGTTGCTGCAAAAGGGGTCGGTGTTTGCACTGTCCCGGAGGATGTCCAAATATCCAAGCGTAGGTTGGGTTGTGGTTGATAGACAAGGAACCCCTGCAACAAGCCTAAGCAAACAATAGGCAAATCATGATACGTGGTATGCCAAATCAGCCTCTCTCTTTGTACCGAAAGGACATCATTGTTGCAGCCGCCCTACTTCCTGTGCCTGTTTGCCTGTCCCATTGTATTTTTCACATGAGATCACGACATTTGATGTGCAACTGTTTGCCAATGATCCTTGTACTTGTTAAGGACAGGTTCAGGAAAATCCTGGAGAGCACCGTTGCTGCAAAAGGGGTCGGTGTTTGCACTGTCCCGGATGATTATCTAAACTCTTCTGAACTATCCTTACCTCATGTGATCCTAAAGGGGGGGGGGCCCTGCAGGGTAGCCCCCCCAGAAATCCTTATTTTTCATAACATTGGCTCAGGACAAATGAACCCCAAAATAAGGTGTCCAAGGCTTATTTTTCGGAAATGTCTTGGACCTGTAGATCATGATGATCCAACACCAAAATAAGCTATCCCACGCTTATTTCTGGAGTTTGTGAATTGTGAGGATGGAAACCCAAAAAAATGAAAATAAGTTATCCAAGTCTAAATTCTGGGACCCTGTGAATCTTTGATGGTTTAAAACACAAAAGAATCATTATCTGGATAAAAAAGTTGTGCCACCAAAGTGCCCTGAAAAATGAATATGTCTCCAGTGGTGTTGGGGCCAACTGTTTTACCAGCATCGAAAACCACTGTATCCCAGCAATTGAATGAAGGGAATCCCCAGAAGAATCATTATCGCAGCATTGAAAGGGTTTCCTGTACTGTAACTGTTCTCTTATTACACCCCTAAATTTATGATGACATTGTTTCCGTTACAGTGTATGTTGGAAAGGCATTCGCAAGTTCCCTTTCACACCCTTGGGACTGGTTGCCCAAAGTGCTGTGGTTTCAAACCATTTGAAATTCATCGTGATGTAACTGGGTTCCAAGTTTCAAGAAGCTCCATTCCATTGGATTAAAAAAGAACAAACTTCCATATTGGATACGATGAATGAACTGGACCGAATTTGTTTCATTTCACTTCGTCTAATGTCCTGTGCACCTGAAAGTTTTCAAGATGATAAATAAAATCTTGGGCTGGTAAATGGACTCGAATGGCTGCCTTTACTCTTGAGCCCCTTTTCAAATTTATGATTCATGGGTTCCTGGTGAAACGTTACTTTGGGATTCCCGTTGATAAAATCTGATATGCCACGACCCTACTGTAAATGAAAAACTCAGCGTGCCATTTCGTTGCTCCTGGCTTGATTCGAGAGTTCTCAGTGTCTTAGACACGAGTCAGGTACCCTGCCTGTTGCAGTGTCACACATATTTTTTCTGGCCGAAGAATTGACTTAAGCCAAATCAGCCAAGTATTCCTGTAACCTTTGCCATGTTGGCCTTAGATTGAAGCGTTGGATAAATAAAACTAAAATCAGAAACGAACGGTCAATGTTCAATAGATGTAAAAATAAAACTAGTCTTTCCAACCCCATTTGCATTTGCTGACATCAAGGGAAAAATGCGATATGTTCTTGAGAACAAGATTCGGGACATATTTGTTGTCTGGATGCTTGGCATTCCATCGGTTGTAGACAAAGTCCAGAGTCACACGCAACGCATCAATTTGTTCAGGACACTTGCTGGTGCCCCACTGCCTCTGACAGCTATTGTACTCTGTTGGGTCACCTGGGTTCGTCACAGTGACACACCAGCTTGTAACCATCAAAAAAGGAATAATGAGAATCATCTGACATCATCTGATCTGATATTAGGGTGTTTTGTTGCTAAGGCTCTCATTTAAGGGCCTTCAAAGTAATATACAGTATGCATGTTGCAAAACTCATCAGTTTCCAACCCCGCGCAGAGACTTCAACAGCCATGTCACTCGTTGGATAGTCAGTTCGAAAGAATTTTTTCTGCGGATGGAACCTGGCCCAGAATGTGGAGGTGATTGCGCCGCCTCCTGGCAAGAGTAGCTTCAAACTGGGAGGTGTTAAGTCGAACTGGCGTTTGCGCTCTGCAACTTCAGCTTTGTCCTCCTTCTCCTTGAGTTGTGAAACTTTCAAATCGGTTTTTTCCTTGTATTTGGAAGCATTTGTTGCCTCTTCAATTCCACATGCCTTGCCTTTGCCAAAAACAGCTTCTTCGAACTGATTGAGAGCCTCTTTTTGAACATGTTTGAAGGCATCTTGGTTGTCCACATCTAGCTCCGATATTGCAGACAGAATTTCCACATTTGTTGGGGTACTGTTCCACCCCATCAAGGGCTTGAGCATTTTCAACAATTCCCCTTCGTTCTCGCTAAGATCTGGGAATACATGTTTCAGCAAACAAAGGGCGATGTCTTTCTTCACGACATTTCCGTTTTTGCCACTCCCTTGTTTTCTTCCAGGGAGTGCCACCTTCAGGGATCCGCAAATAGACCGGAGCTGCTGTACTGTGAGGAAAATCCCATCACGCAGGGCCCCACGAAGTACCCATTCATCTTTAGAGTCAATCTGAAAGATGGAACCAAGGAAGCTGAAATTCACCGGGATGCAGGCAGGCGGGAGTGGTTTGGCTACAACCCGTCTCCACTCGCAAAGATCTTCAGCGACCTTGAAGTTGAACATGAACTTCAACTTGTCAATTCCAGCTGTCGTTGCCCCAAAGTTGGGAAAAGTGAGGTACTCCTGTCCATCAATGTCGAGAGTTTCCCCAGGTCTACTTAAAATCAAAAAACTTAGTTTCCTAATTCCTATTGGTAGTGGGTGACTAGCGACTTTAATTGGCTGACAGTTTTTTCAGTAGACTCTGTCCTGACCGTCCACTGCCTGGATTTCCAATCGGACACCTAAAGCGCAGTATGCTGTGAACCCCAATGACAGGTAGAACTCGTCATTGTCAGTGGCTCTGTGGAAAATGCCGCCCCGCAGCAATAAGCATCCTCAGGGGAATCATCTTTGAACCATAATGGACCATAATGGCATAAGGATTCACATTACCAGATAACAAATGGCGTTGTTATATCTAGGATATCTTGGGCATATGTTGTTCTTATTCTTCGATTCAGTAAATTTAAATTGGGCTCATGCCATAGACTCAACTATTAGGCCACTCCCCGGTGTAGAATAAACTTATTCCAACTCTCGCGCCTGCCCAAGTGTGAGCGGCATTTGGGAAGCCGGCTGGGGAGTCGTGCATCATGTAACAAGCTGCCGCACTGGACTTGTAATGGCTTAAAGGACCAGCGTGACGCCACTGAGTTTTGTGAACCCCATTCGCGCTTTTCGGGAGGGTGACATTTTCTCCACTTGGTAAAGGAAAGACTTTCCCAAGTTGAAATGCTTTCTGGAAATTCTGCATCAACGGTGATTCATTCATGCCGTACGACCCAGATAAATTTGCCCATGTGGAACTTTTTGGAAAGTGCTGCGTCATCCCCGACGCTTTTACGTAGGAGGACCCCATTGTGTACATCCAGAGCAAATGTGGTGCACACACTTTGTTCTTGTTTGACCGGGAAACCACGTCAGACAAATGAGCAAAGGTGGACTCTAAGATTTCCTTGGTGCTCGATGATGACCCGAAAAAACGCATCATCAGTTTTCTCACCGTACTGCTCTCATCGGAATCGATATCAAATTTTCCCTTTTTCAGTAAGAACATGAGTTCCCGCACAAAGGGCTCCTGTTGGTAGGCTAAGTCTTCAAGTATCCGGTTCAGGACGGGTTTCCTGTCGCACTGCTTCTCAGCAATCAAAATGCTCAGAACTAAGGACTGGAGTCTGCGCATTGCAGTTTTTTGTTCCGCACGCTGGCGAGATAGAAGGGCAGCGCTGGCCAGAGGAAGCGTGAATGTGTACAGCATTTGTGCCCAGGCACAATTGGCAGCCAATTCAATAGCAAATGATGTCACCTGCTGGGTCAAAGTGATGTCATCCTGAATGGTACCCCAATCAAAAGCTGCAGGAGGGTCGCAATGAGGGGCACAGCGCATAGCTGCATATAGTTCCGATGATGACTGAACCCCTAGGATGGAGTACACCACATGCACCCACTCTCCATTGGCACGGGCAGCTGCCCATTGAATAAGGGAGGCCAACCCATTTGTCTGAGCTTTCAACTCAGATTGGTATTGACAGTGAAGAGGTGTCGTGACATGCACGATAATACATGCATGGGCCCTCACTTCCTCATCGCTCAATATGTCCAAGTTCATGGCATGAGGCCCCTTCCCTTTGTACATGGCAAACAGTTGAGCTTTTGTCATTTTTGAAGGTGGTGGGTCATCAGACCCCCTGGCCGCCTCAGGTTCTTCGTCTTGATCACCTGCTTCGTCTTCTTCTTCTTCCACTGGCGCCCCGGCATTGGCAGCGTCGGTGTCATCGTCATCAACCTGGGCAATTTGGCAGTACTGGGTTACTGACACTGGGTAGTCGTTGGTTTGTCAAAAAGCATATTTATATGTTTTATATATTACAAGTATATATATATACAAGTATGTAAGTGCGCAGACCGTTTGGTTTGTGAATAGATGTGGATAGTTCCCATCATCATCATTATTATTATTATTTTGTGGAATTCTGGGATACCAATCCAGCCGGAAGACAGCTCCACCTGATTCTATCATGACAGCCCGAGCCCCTTCGCGAAGAATTGTCCAATCAGAGAGAACATTCTTGGCCGCAGAAATGATTCCGAACCAGCTCTTGTTCTTTGCCTTGATTGATCGGAGGGATCAGTCCGGAATTCGAAACAAGTTAGAACTCTTACTGCCTTTTGAAAATTTTAGCGAGGACACGGAGGAATGGATTCTATTATTAATAATTGTCTAAAGTCCGCAAGTCTTATGTTGAAGCGCTGTTCTGTCAAACTGTCAAGCGAATGAGCATTTTGATAACCTAGTTTTCTGTATTGTGACCAGCGTCGAAAATGCCGCGGTTCTTGAGGCTTGGGGCTTCCAGGTAGTCATCGATTAGGATGTGGGCAGAATCAGTATCAATGACACAGCCCCTGTCCATGCCAACCTCGGCAGCTAACTCTTCAAAGTATTCAATTTCTTGCTTCTCCAGGAATTGACGCAAGTATTCCAACCTCATCATCCGGCGCTCACCTCCGAGAGTAGTGCCATGACTATAGTTAGCAACAATAGTCAGCTTCATCAGTGATAAGTTCATAGATCCGCTGTTCTTTATTGCACGGCGAAAGCAATTCCACTTCCAGTGACAAATGTCAGGGACGCTGCCCCCACGAAGCCCGCAATAGGAAAACAAGTAGTGGAAACATTTGTTCTGCACTGACTCCTCATCACATGCCTTGATTCAGAGCACGCGCATATGAAATTAAGATGGTCCATATCTTGTCTTAAAATCCATAAGCAGCGCTTCAAATCAGAATGCTTGCAATTGGAACAAGGGGGTCGAAGGAGAAAAACTACAACCATAAAAAGAAATCAAACAGGATGCAAACCGCAGAAGTCCAACGGTGTCCATTGTCTCAGGAATCTGAAGCTTCATGAGGTTTTCCCCGTAGTAGTCATTTCGATTCCTTTTCGCCCACTCGGGAATGAAAAAATCTAAGGACCGACCGGTCATCAGCATCAGAATGTGGTGGATGGCCCGCATGGTGACCTTAGCCGCATTTCTCCCAGCTAGTATGCACTAGTAAAGTATGGCGATCATTTATGCACATACGATGACTTAATATGTGAATATGATGTATGTACAATATATTATATTCACACTCTAAACTTTGAAATAGGGACACATTGAGATGACAGAAGTATCTCAAAGTTTTCACACTCAAACGAGCGGGGCAAACACGTGAAGAAACCACCAAACCTTGATCGACTGTGCCTTGTCACATGCATGATTCCAAGGTCAGAACGTAGAAAGAATTGCACTCTTTCTTTGAAATTCTTGGCCTGTAAGTAAGTCAAGTTGAATCCATTGAAAGTTGGCAGGTTTCTTTCAATTCTGTTTGAACTGGTTTGTCACTGCATTCATTGATGTCAGCGTGTCATTTTGAACATACCTGGCCTGAAAACAGCTCGCCCATCCAAGAGGTCTGTAGTGGTCTTTGGCAAGACCTCCGTCGTTGGCTCTGCAGTAGAGAAAGATTGACTTGAACAACGGCTGAATCGTGCTGAATGGTCCCTTGGTCAGTTTCTGTCCACATCACGAGATTTTTCAAATTTGAAGCGTGTTTTTCTGACTGCCCGTTCAAAAATGAAGTGAGTCATGAATCAAGCGGAACTTCATCTCATGAATCAAACGGAAATTTATCGACTTGAGATTCAGTAAACTAAACCGTTTTTTTCTCTCACGCGCTGCTTTTGCCCAGTTGAAACTTTGGGCTGGTGACTTTTGTGCTTCATCGAATGACGACTGTACAGAAGCAAGTAAATTTCCAGGAAAGTAAATGTGAATCTGAATAGGAACAAACTCACGACTGTCTGTCAGATGGTCAAAGCCCTCACGACTCTGACAGGACCAGTTCCGTGACACTGACACAAAATAAGTTTGGCTGTCAAATGAAAAAGCTTCGCTATCTACAATATCCTACTCTCACGAGACCTTACTTACTTCAGCCACTTGATGAAGCCATAGATCCTGTGGTACCCAATCCACTTGTCTACTGACTCTTGGCATTTGAGGCTGGCAAGGATTCGACTGTTGAACTGGGCTGGCGATTCGTGGATGATGCCGCTGGAGATGCTTGGCACGGGGAAGTTTCCGAATCATCACCAGGAAACTCTTCAGTGGTTGTCGGGGACAAACCAAAAGATCCCGAACCCAATCGTTCCGAGCGTCGAAGTGCAGGGCGCGGGGACGGTGATTCACACCCAAGCCCAAAGCCCTCTGGATCAATGCGGGTCATTTTCCTGTTGAAGCCCCCGTCCATCATCATGGGCACCCCGCCCGACCAAAGAGCACTAAAACACTCACGGGGCGGGCCGCAATTCTTCTGGACATCTTTAGGTTCCATCTTGTTGGGCTTGGTCATGCTGGGGTCGGTCTGTTTAGATGTTCCATCTCCACCGACCGTTGTTTTCTTGATATTTTGTTGGGTTGCATCAGCAGAACCAAGCTTCAAGACCGTCTTCTTGATTTGGACAAAGCGGGTTTGCTTGGTAGGCATGTTTCCACCCTTCTGCTTCAAGAAGAACTTCTTGATAGTAGTTTGGCGCTTCTCACTAGGGGAATCATTCGTCATCTGCTTTTTGAAGAAGGAGACAATCTTAGATTGTTCAGCAGAACTACCATGATTGCCCTGGCTTGCGCTCCCTGCCACATCTGAGGACCCATCGGTGCCACCCGTCTCATTCTTCATATGGAGGCCAGCCATGGTCGTCAGTCGAAGAACGTATCGGGAGGGTCAGAGAAATCAAGAATTTGAAGCTGACAGCTTTCTACACTCAAAAACAAGAGGACCGGTTCAATCCAGACTTCAAGTGGCCTGGCAGACAGAAAAAAAACTGTAATCGAAACCGGTTCGATTCAAATCCACAAAAAATCAACAGGTATTTCAAAGTAGTTCGTGTGCTTGGACTAATTTGAAATTCATTTGATTTGCAGGCATGACATGTGAGCCATTTGTTTTGGCACCAGCGATGACTGATGCACAGGTGACAGTCTGACAGCCTTCCAACCCTGTTCTGCATCGGACACTGGGCACAGAAATTGTTGGGCGCAACTCAGTCAGTCAGTGCTTCGCTCAGTCAGTCAGTGCTTCGACTGCTGGACTCTGGCACCCTCTGAACTTGTTTTATTTTCTGCTAGTTTCAAATGAATCCAGAAAAAGTAAGTTGTAGAACAAATCATCTAAAGTGATCGATAATTGCCACTGTGCCCGTCGAAATTGTGGGATTGACAAGGTGGAAACCATTGAATTTGACGAGGGGCGGCCGATTGACACTGAAAACACGCAGGTTTGATTGAAATACGGATGTCATGAGGTGACCATGCACCCAACAGAAACAAACTAAGCATCTAATCCAAGGAACTTGTTCAGCACACTGATCAAAACAATCAATTTGGACCCTAGACTCTACGTCACGTCAGTGGTCAGCCAGCACTCCTAACCATGCACAGCTACAAAAGCCTGTTGCGAGTGGTGGCCCATCTATCAGGGTGATTGAACCATCATGTCTTCACAGTTTAACAATTCCAAAATGCTTCTGCGACCGGCCACGCACCAAAGCAACTCCTGAGCTAACTCAGGATTCATAGTTCCGCTATGACCCAGTGATCGGACAGCCCTTGCGTTGTGGCAAGTGCAAAGACCCTTGACTCATCATTAATTTTGGTTTCACGCAACACTCGTGAAATTTTGTGACTGAAGAAAGAAAGTGCGTCATTAAATTTAAATGGTTTTGGTTGTGGTTAGCCCACCAAATCCGAATTTGATGATCAGATACACTTTTAGTGACGCGTTTGACTTACCCTCGTTTGATTTAAATATTAAAATTTAATACCCAGTTTGACTCATGCAAACTTGAGTTGGTTTTTGCCTGTTCTCTGTATTATTTATTTATGTGCGTGTGTTTGTGTGTGTGTGTGTGCACGCGCGTGTGCTGAGCGCCACTGGGCCGAAGAAACCACATCATTTCGGAAAGTTTGGTCAGAGCAGAATGCATTCCTTTCTTCAAGCGATCCCCACTCGAGTGATATCTGACATATATTCTGACATTATAATATGCTTTGATTCTTGGAAAAATGCTAGAAACTTAATGGTAATTATTGTTGGTGGCAACTAAAAAAATGAAAGCACATTCAAGCCTTAAATAAGCGCTTTTTTTGGCTGAACTGAATTAAAAAAATAATTTTTGAATTTTAAAGCAGAAATCCGAGCAAATTTGGATGTTTCCAAAAAAGCCGAAACTAAATTTAAATCAAGCGGTCAAAGTGCTTGCCCAACTACAGTTCTCCGAAATAAATTCAAAATGACGCCAAAATGAACTAAAATCTTGCAAAACTCAACATTTCCAAAATAATGCCAAAATAAGGTCAAAATAAGGTCAAATTAAGGTCAAATAGCTTGCAAAACTCTACTTTTTCCAAAATAAGGTCAAAATAAGGTCAAAATAAGGTCAAATAGCTTGCAAAACTCAACTTTTCCAAAATAAGGTCAAAATAAGGTCAAAATAAGGTCAAAATAAGGTCAAATAGCTTGCAAAACTCAACTTTTCCAAAATAAGGTCAAAATAAGGTCAAAATAAGGTCAAATAGCTTGCAAAAGTCTACTTTTTCCAAAATAAGGTCAAAATAAGGTCAAAATAAGGTCAAAATAAGGTCAAATAGCTTGCAAAACTCAACTTTTCCAAAATAAGGTCAAAATAAGGTCAAAATAAGGTCAAAATAAGGTCAGGTCAAAATAAGGTCAAAATAAGGTCAAAATAAGGTCAAAATAAGCAAAACTTGCAAAACTCAACTTTTCCAAAATAAGGTCAAAATAAGGTCAAAATAAGGTCAAAATAAGGTCAAAAGCTAAAACTCAACTTTGCCAAAATAAGGTCAAAATAAGGTCAAAATAAGGTCAAATAGCTTGCAAAACTCAACTTTTCCAAAATAAGGTCAAAATAAGGTCAAAATAAGGTCAAAATAAGGTCAAAATAAGCAAAACTCTCTACTTTTTCCAAAATAAGGTCAAAATAAGGTCAAAATAAGGTCTTGCAAAACTCACTTTTCCAAAATAAGGTCAAAATAAGGTCAAAATAAGGTCAAATAGCTTGCAAAACTCAACTTTTCCAAAATAAGGTCAAAATAAGGTCAAAATAAGGTCAAAATAAGGTCAAATAGCTTGCAAAACTCTACTTTTCCAAAATAAGGTCAAAATAAGGTCAAAATAAGGTCAAAATAAGGTCAAATTTGCAAAACTCTACTTTTCCAAAATAAGGTCAAAATAAGGTCAAAATAAGGTCAAATAGCTTGCAAAACTCAACTTTTCCAAAATAAGGTCAAAATAAGGTCAAAATAAGGTCAAAATAAGGTCAAAATAAGGTCAAATAGCTGCAAAACTCAACTTTTCCAAAATAAGGTCAAAATAAGGTCAAAATAAGGTCAAAATAAGGTCAAAATAAGGTCAAATAGCTTGCAAAAGTCTACTTTTTCCAAAATAAGGTCAAAATAAGGTCAAATATAAGGTCAAAATAAGGTCAAAATAAGTCAAACTTGCAAAACTCAACTTTGCCAAAATAAGGTCAAAATAAGGTCAAATAGCTTGCAAAACTCAACTTTGCCAAAATAAGGTCAAAATAAGGTCAAAATAAGGTCAAATAGCTTGCAAAACTCTACTTTTTCCAAAATAAGGTCAAAATAAGGTCAAAATAAGGTGAAATAGCTTGCAAAACTCACCTTTTCCAAAATAAGGTCAAAATAAGTTCAAATACCTTGCAAAACTCAACTTTTCTGAAATAGTAAGGTCACAAACTGCAATTGTGGAAAAAGTCCCGGGGATATGCTTTACTGAGGAAAAATCAAGACAGAATGAACCAAGTTATTTCAACACAGGGTTTGCTAGGCTGCCATCCGATCAGTCAAAAGTACGGAACTTTGAAATAAAAAATAGGCTCAGGACACATCCATGCTGTCGCCGTCCTTGGCCTTGTCCTTGTTTGCACCTGAGCCTGAGCTCTTCCCCTTCGTCTTGTCCCCGCCATCGCCACTCTTCTCCTTCTTCTTGTCCCCAGAGTCTCCATCGCCGCTTTTCCCCTTCACCTTTTCCGTGTCCGTGTCACTCTTCAGGGTCTTCTCCTTGGCCTTGTCCCCGGAATCACCGCTCTTAACCTTCGACTCGGACTTGTCATTGTCCCCAGGATCTGCATCACTGGTCTTGGCTTTCTTCTTGTCTGGGTCACCCTTGACGTTGCTGGCTTTCTCGATTGCTTCCAATTCCCTTTCAAGCGGCTCCTCCTCCTTTGCTGCGTCTTTTGCCTCTGGCAGCGGCTTCGGGACTGGGCGAGTAGATCTCTCTGGAGTGGGAGGTTGCTTGATGGTCTTGCGCCCTGACGGAACGTAGCTGTCCGGTTCTTTTGCTGACTCCAGCCCCTTCAATGCCGTGCCAATGGGTTTGGCCTGGCTGCTCTTCATGGCTTGGTAAACATAGCGCTTCTTGACTGATTGGTCGGAAGTGCAAACGAGCATGGTTTCTTCATTCCCACCAGCCGTGGTCACATTCGACAGCTTCCACTCCTTTCCTGGAGGCAGTAAGAGCTCCAATCCGTCCTTGGGCGAGGTGAGCAAAGCCATCTTGTCTTCTCCGTCCTTTACTGCAGGCTTCAAAAACTCAATGTGTGGACGTAGATCTGGCTCACCATCGGGTTCCTCCTCAGCCTCATCCTTCTCACTTTCCTTGTACTCAAAAAGTGACTCAACGTCTGAGGCCGGGATGCTCTCCTCTTTGTCAGACTCAGAAGCTGGGTCTTTTGCTGCTGACGCTGATGCTGCTCTGGTTGATGGTGCTCTGGTTGACCCTGTCATAGCCGAACCTGCGTGGCTGCTGGTGCGTGCTCCAGGTTGAAGAGGGCCTGCCAAGACGGACAGGTGGCAGAATAGAAAAAACACGGGTTCTAAAGGGCAAAATGAATATGGCATTAGCGCAATAGTTTATCAAAAAAGTTGGGCTCAATGTTCTTTAGGTTTTACATGTTTTTTGCTTTTACACGTAGAGAGTCAAAAGAAAAACAGACCAAATGAATTATATGAATTGTGTCTTTTTTGAGCCACATGCCTTTAGCCGCCATCCCCTTCATGACTCGTGGCTTGCTGGCAATTCCATGATCTCGGTCTCCAGACGGTCCAGAGTCACCCTTCGCCTTGTCACCCGGCTTCCGCTTCGCCACGTCGGTCTTGTCAGGCTTGTCCTTTTTGCGTCTACTTTTGCAAATGCACGGCCAAAGATGACTTCACAAAATTCTGGTTCACAGTCATCCGGATTGCCACCGCCCAACACCCACTGGTCGTCCTTGTCTGAGTAGTAGACGAAGTAGTCCTTCCCCTTCTTTGTCAAAGCTGGCAAAGCCACCTTTCTCCCGCTCTCGTTCTCCACAAGGGAAATCTTGCCGCTTTTGGACACCTCCACGGAATATTCCTCGTCGTCGCCCTCGTCCTCCTCCTCTGTCTCGTCCTCCTTTTTGGCATTCTTTTTCTTCTTGTGAAATTCCAGAACTTCTTCTGGAAGCGGAGGTGGCTGACCGTTGGGGTCTCGCTTGGGGAGCTTCCAAGCGTATCCTCCCACCTGACTCTTCTTCAGCTTTCCCTTGGAATAAAGGTCAAGCTGCCACTGCATGTACTTGTGGATCTCGGCAGAAGACCAGCCCGTCGATTCTGCCGGCTTGTTGCGACGGTTGTACTGGTTGGTTGCCCCATCCAAGACCTCTTGCTTCTCTTCCCTGGGATGATCTGGATGGACGGTTAAACATCTGGGTGCCCCCCAAAATAATTGACATTATGCCTAGGTGATTACAACAAAAACCATATATATATAATACCAAAACACATTTAGTTACCAAAACAACAATTGAAAAACAGGTGTTTTTCTTGTCTAGACTAGTTGCGACAATTTCGGGTCATCAGGCAACCAACCAGTGACAAAAGCGACGGCTGATAGCAACCGGCTGCGCTTCTCGTACTGGAACACATCCCTGGGTAGATATGTTGGATCGCATGCCACAATCCAATCCACGAAATGGCAATCCTGAGATATGAAAGAAGCGTGCAACAAAAATGGAACAAAAACGATGTGTGATTCCACACGCCCGGTTACTTTTGATAGTCATGCACAATACGTTTGGAATAGTTGGTTCATTTCATTGTCCAATTTTTTCTTTGAAAATGAAAATATATGAAAATGACAGCATCAGTCAGATGAGGAGCCACAAAATCTTTCACGGCCCTCTGACTCTTGTAGGTGTCAGTGTTGATCCGGCGGTTGCCAGTTCGGGAGTCTTCGTCTGCCTTCGGCTTAGTGCCCTTCTTCTTGGGCTTGGCGGGGGCGGCCTTCGCACCTGGACCGCGGGATCTTTTCGGTTCCTTGTTGACAGTTTGTTCTGCTTCGGGTGCAACGACAGGCTCCCCCATGAACCTCACTTGGATGAAGTTTTTGAAAGCGATAAAACCCCTTCAAATAAAAATGTTCAGGTTGTTGGAATTCGCAAGTTTTTGTCGTCATTGGAGAATCGAAACCATACAAGTTGCGACCAAAAAAAAACAAGCAACGTCGAATCATCAGAAGACTCAGAACTGCTGCTTGCCATGTGATGGGCTGGCGGCACAGTAGGTCGACTCGACCGGGGCCGAGACGCCCCAGACTCACTCGTCTTCCGGGGGCGCTTTCTGACTGGGGACCTTCCACGTTCTCGAGACTTCTCTGACTCATCATCTCTGCCTTTCCCACGGCGAGCCATCACTGCAAACACAAAGGTCAAAGCAGTTAAGGTCTTGTTACACGGTCTTGAGCATTCTGATGATTGACGGATCAAATCAAATTGAAATGAAAACTAGTCATGTGAATTTCCGACGAAATTACCATTTGATTTTCAAAAACTGCGCAGCTTTCCGATGCTGGATTGCGACAACCTTTGATTTTTTTAAAAGAATGCGCTTATGTTAAATTCTTGAAATGAAAAAACTAATCCGGCAGGAAATCTGATTTGCCTGCTGAAACTGTGAAACGGAGATCAAAACACTGATTCACCCATTCTTTGCAGACTATTGCAAACCAACAAAACAACACATTAATATGTAACATGTAAGGTTATCATTTTAAATAGTGACGCACACGTTTTTTTTAACGATGGTTTCCTTTCCTATTAAAAAAAACTATAACACCTCACAAATCAGGGTGTCTCAGTCACGCATCTTGAAGCTGCTCAGGGCAACTAGCTGAATCACAGCAGCTGTCATAAAATGAAAGCTGTTTCCAGCGACGGACGCGGCCCGTAGATTGTCAGCAATCGGTAAGATGGGCACCCCCATCGCAGAAGCAGTTTCCTCGTTTACAGGGAAACCGAGTGCAGCTAAACGGTCCTTAGGACCCATCCATGTTTGTGTGTGAGGATGATACATTCGCCCACCTCCCGTTCTAAAGGTGGGTATGCGGCCGCTGACTGCAGACCATGTCAAGCGGTTCCGTGCATTGTCTCCTAAAAACAGGAAAACATCCGGATCATCTTGAAGCCGCTTGCCAGGAAAACGCTCACTGTATTTCTGAGAAGCAAAATCGACACAGTCTAGTTCACGCTGGTTCAGAAGGTATTTCATGGAGTAAGGTCCATCACGTACCTAGGCGAACAAGGGGAGATGGATGGTATAATTGAACTTAAGGTTGACCCGTGAATTTGAGGCAAGATTTCATAGAAAACAAATGAAAACAAGAACGCTGAGCGTAGAACAAAAAGGGTCTAACAGAAAAGCGTTTTAACCATCACCCAAAAACCGGTCGGAGACGAATCTGTCTGCACGTTGCAGTCTTGCGTGCTTCAACCAGAAGGTCAAGCTTTGAGGACACCAGGTAATCTGAAGGCTTTGTGCAGATATATTTTTGTACGTACTCTGACACTTTGTCATACAGGAGCTGAAGATCAGTGATGGGAACGACCTTTGTCTTCAGAGTCAAAATGACATACACCCTGTCCCGTGCAACCCCGGAGTGCCCCTGGTCGCCGGGGGTAGCGTAAATCGGATGGATGTTGTAGTGCTTCCCATAGAGCCTGTGAATCATTGGCATTGCCAGGTCCTGCAATCGTTGCGCATCAATTTGTTAATGAATAGGATTTTGATTTCAAACAAGTACTAAAAAAATTAAAGTTTCTAATAAGGAAACAATCTTTAGAAAATTTCAACAACACTGTCCCAGACATTCTCGATGCACAGCATTGGAGTCTGATAGTGCACGTGCATCTTCGCATGGCATGCGAACACAGATGATGTGGTACCCTCCTCATACGCCCTGTTGCCTGCCCTGGAATGGTCCGGGCATGGAAGTCCGCTTAGGTCAAAATCAGGTTCAGCTACCCGACAACCCTTCCGGAAAACCGGGCAGTCTTGACCATGCGTAAAACACCACTGATCGGCACAGAAATCAGCGCGATCTATTTGAGTTGCACGTGTTTCAAAGTTTGCCCCTGTGTCAAAGCTCCCCTCAGGAACTATTTCTGTCAAATCGCCGTGTATACATGGATGAACATGAGCACACCCAGTTGCAGTATTGTACCACTGCATGTGGTCCACAATCAACTGACGGCAACGTGCATTGATTTCCTGAGCAGCGCGATCCCAAACCCAAGGAATTGGAAAGGACTACTTACTTACGGATCTCGTTACGTTGCTTGGCTGAAATGTCAAAACCAAAGAATTGTTTTTGGATGATTTCAAGAAGACATTTTCTGAAATTGCAACCTGGTAACATGGCACCTGACTGGTTGAAAGAAGACCTTGCGATCCTTGACACGCCCGGAATCATTCACTGTGCGCTCAACCACAGCCATTGCCATCTCTCCGCTAAAGGAGCCAGTGCAGCTAGACGAAGTGTGTTGCACACTAAATAACATAGATTCCTGGAGCGTTATTGCAATAGAACGAACGAAACCATATGATAAAGCCACTTTGGTCATTTTTTGAAAGGTGCTGAACAGTGTGGTGATTGGTTTGAATTTAACACCTGTCCTTGAGGTCAGCAAGTGGAACAGCTGAGCAAATGAAGCGCCACGCCAGTTGCACAGCACGGGCTGCTCGGGCTAGCGGTTTGGAGCGCTCCAATTCCTGGCCAGCGGCCAGAATTGATTGAGTCCCCGTACCAATTTTAACTGGTTACCTAACATATAATATTATTTCTTGCAATTAAAATCTTGTCAACATGGTTCAAATAAATTGTTTAAGATGTGTTGTTCCAGCCTCTGCCGCAAGAGAACTTTCAGACAATGAAGTGCTCTGGCTGCATGCCGGAGCATCGCTGACAGTCTCGCTACGCAGCGACCAGTCAGTGGATGCTGCCATGGTTGCTGTCAGAAAGAATTTGAATCGAAAGGTTCAACTTCCAAAGTCACTCATGAAAGTGCAGATGTCTTCCACGACTGATCTGATTCTTTTTTAGAAACTAGATTCAGTTGAAATCATCATAATTGTGAAAATTATCCATTTGTGTTTCTCCATCTCTGCACTCTGAACTCTGAACCAAAAAGGTCCTCAGAAGCGCCTGTGAACCGAACTAGATTGACTGGAACTGTTCATCATCATGTTTAATTCAATGAACACACCAAAAAATTCAACACACTCTTGACTGAACTGTGAGAATCGAGACATGTGAGCCCTGAGCGCCCCAGCCAGTGGTGGGGCCCAGGAGCCACGCTGCACTTCCGGTGCAAACACCCATGCCAGTTCAGTGGGGCGCTTCCCCACTGACGAAGCATCCACAAAGATCTCAGCAACGTAATGGTGATTGAATAGTAACAGAACAACAGTCTCTGTTAATTCTGGAACCGGAATGGGGATCAAATGTCAGTTGTTCTTACATACCATTTATTAAGCTTGACATTGGTCCAACTCCAATTCAACACCATTTGAGGTCACGACGTGGTATGTGAAGCAAGAGCGTAGGAATTGCAGCGCAGAGCAGAGGTACATGAACTCAGTTCGTCACCGGAACACACTGCCCATCCAGATATTGCAAAAACATCATCAGTTAAAAATATATTAAAGATAGGACTGTTGGCCTAGCATATTATATTATATATTTTAAATATGTTTGTTCATGTTGCTTTGCACTGTTTGATGATTTAGAATCCATCCAGACGACTGGAATTGACTTGAGACCCCGGCGGTGGCTGGCAAAACAATTGCCTCTAGTTTTACAGGCACCTTGCTGAACTTCTTGATGGCAGACTTCACAAATCTTTCCTGGGCCAGCGCTATGTGACTGTGAGATCAGAGTAAGCCAAGGAGCGTAGTAAATTTAGATGTATTATATAATCTGGAAAATAAACGGTCCAAAAGTTTGTAGAATAAAATTGATAAACAAGTGACTCTTCCTGACCAAATTTCGTTCGCAACAGTCTCAGCCAGGACTGAAACTATCACCCTTTTAAATCTCTTAGCACTTTTGATGAGGGCATCGGCTTCAAGTTGAGCTGCATCCCTTAACACATGAGGGACCGACGTGTCTATGATGAAGGAAATCTCTGTCAGCAGGTTCAACACCCCTGTCATAAGCAAAGAGGAAAGCGAAGGGACGCGCTGCGGGTCGAGTGCAAAAGAAAGGAGGGAAACCAGCGGTACACTATCACCACCTCCATCAATCTGGTTGATCCAAGTCTTTCCCTTGTTTAAGAAATCAGACTTCCAAGCTTTCTTCACATTGGTTGTCCAGAAATCTGACGACCAGAATGCTGAGGAATCGACTTTGCCGAAGCTGTCCACTAATAAGGAACCCTGGCCACGCGCATTCACGTCCCTGTCAGTTGTAAACCTCTCGTGGGTCAGCTCAACTCCATCTAGGACTTGACAAAATAGCAATATCAACTTTGCGAAACCTGAAGATGCCTCCGCTCGCGAAACCAGGCTTCGATGTTTGTTGTTGAGTAAATTGCAAACAGTCGAGACCAACATAGATGTGTTGATGGTTGCTTCTTTGAACCACGTGTGTGATTCTTGGTCGTTTTGGTTCTTTACATACTTCGAATGCAGTGTCTCAATGTGAATTCCTGGCCATAGTCTGTGATGCCATTCAACGATGTTGGGCCGAGCTTTCCGCCACACTTTCAGGCTGCGCTTCGTGTCCGTTGTTTCGAGGAATAGAAGCATCACCTGGCAAAACTGAAAACAACATGACACCAAAATAATCAGAAACAAGTCAGATAACAGAAGAAATAAGACTGAAAGACTTCGGAAAGAAACCGCAAGAAACATCGCAAGAATGAATGAAATGACAAACAACAGGGCCTGTGAGAGAACCCACTCAGACTGTAAGGTGTCTGAAATGTACACAGCAATATCCCGGCATCCAACGCGCACTACACCTGACATGATCGGAGATTCAATTCGCTGACTCTTTGTAAAACAAAAACGAAACTAAACCCCGATCAGCAAAATGAAGGAAAACACCCCAGAATCTTAACCTAGCAACCTCTCTTCTGAAAAGGGGAACCAGCTGCGGCATCTACTTCTGCGCTCAGTGCCAACTGTTCCTCGTCAGCGTCCTCATCCACGTCCATGGGCCAGAGCACGGCCGCACTGTGCCCGCAGAAAATTGGTATGTTTTTAAAATGACAGCTCAGGATGAAAACTCTGGTGAACTATTTTAGCGGATAGGAAAACCCGTGACGGGGTCATATGATAATGGGGAAGTTGATAGGTTACGAAATTTGTTTATTATTAATTACATGTCATGGGACTCGACTTGATCAGTGTTCCAAATGGATTGGCCCAAATGGCGCTGTCATCAGGTAAATGGAACGAGCGAACGGTTTCTCACACATGATATGTTTGTTTGATTGTTTGGTGTTGTGTCCAGATTATGATTTAATATCCAACATGACAAAGTCGACTGTTAAACTGTTACATCCACACCGACCTTTTGATTGGAATGCCCAAAAACGAAGGCCAAAAGAATATAAATGACTATTTATATTATATATATATGAATGAATCTGATGAAACAACATAATATTTCAATGAATGACACACATGTTTCCATATCTTTCTTCGGACAAATAGGCCAAAACAAGGACGAACATCATAAATTAACTACTTACATCTCCTCTAAAATAAGAGTAGAATAAGAAAAAAACCAATGTGATTTACTGCACACGTGTTTCCCCAAAAATAAGGCTAAAATAAGGATGCAACAGCATGCATTGACTACCCACGGCTTCTCCCAAAATAAGGCTAAAATAGACTATTTTTAGCTATTTACCTTATTTTAGCCTTATTTTTTCATGTTCTTATTAAGGCCTTAATAAGCCCTTAATAGACCCTTATCTATATTCCCTGGGGGGCTACCCTGCAGGGCTCCCCCCCCTTTAAGATCTCATGATGTTTAAATTCCCCCCCCCAAAGCCCAACATGCAATAGTATTTTTCCATTCGCAGCTTTCTCTGCTGAAGAGTTCTTGTCTCGACTCCAATTCATTGTTTAAACTTCCCCCCCCAAAGCTCAACATGCAATAGTATTTCTCGATTCACAGCTTTCTCTTCCGAAGAGTTCTTGTCTCGACTCCAATTCATTGTTCAGTGCACAAAGTGCCTAAACTGGGTAAAATGCACAAAGTACGTAAAAAGTGCGCAAAAAGTGCGTAAAAAGTGCGAGTAAACTGGGTCAAGTGCGCAAAGTGCGTAAAAAGATGTAAAAAGTGCGCAAAAAGTGCGTAAAAAGTGCGTAAAAAGCGCGTAAAAAATGCGTCTATACAGTGCGCGCCATGTCAAAGTGCGCAAAGTGCGTAAAGTGCTTGAAAAGTTGCAAAAATGAGTAAAAAGGCGTAAAAAGTGCGAAAAGTGCGAGTAAACTGGGTATAAAGTGTGCAAAGTGCGTAAAAAGTGCGCAAAAAGTGCGTAAAAAGTGCGTAAAAAGTGCGTCTATATACAGTGCGCGCCATGTCAACGTGCGTAAAGTGCTTGAAAAGTGCGCAAAAATGAGTAAAAAGACGTAAAAAGTGCGAAAAGTGCGAGTAAACTGGGTAAAGTGTGCAAAGTGCGTAAAAAGTGCGCAAAAAGTGCGTAAAAAGTGCGTAAAAAGTGCGTGAAAAATGCGTCTATACGGTGCGCGCCATGTCAAAGTGCTTGAAAAGTGCGCAAAAATGAGTAAAAAGGCGTAAAAAGTGCGAAAAGTGCGAGTAAACTGGGTAAAGTGTGCAAAGTGCGTAAAAAGTGCGCAAAAAGTGCGTAAAAAGTGCGTAAAAAATGCGTAAAAAGTGCCTGAAAAATGTGTCTATACCAGCGCGCGCCATCCCAGAGTGCGCCTTATTGAAAAGATTCAACAGAAAACGCATATTTCAACAGTGAAGTCTTGTTTCAACAGAAACACAAAAAGCTGTTGAAATAGAAAGGTGCATTTTTTTAAAGCCTTGTTGAAAAAACCAACAGAGCCCTTATTGTTTTTTTCAACAGGATCCTGTTGGTTTAGAATGTATGAATCTGAAGAAAATGAACAGCTTTTTCAGAAACATGTGGCCAGCATGTGGTGCCACTTCCTGAGACAGCTGCTTCCTTTTTCAAGGGCACAATGAGGCA